ATGACCAATCCTGGCGGTAGAGAGAAGTACGGACGAGCCGGGAGATGATGTGGACAAGATGGCCGACGGGAAACGTTTAACGGCCCAGCGCTTCCCGGTCTGTGGAAGATGCTTGGTTTATTGCGCACCTTAGAATTTCCAGCTCCGCCCATTTTTCAAAGCCACTCCCCCCCTTTTCCAATTAGATCCCCTAAACTACGTAGTTGGGGAGCCTGAAGCCACTGTGGTCAAGATGAAGCTTGAAGTGACAAAGGATTAATCTTAATTTCCTCTCCCTTTACTTCCTGCTGTGTCACCAGAACAGGAAGTGAGGAGAATCTCCCAAAAGGGGGACTTCTGTCCATCCAGAACTTGGTCGGAGTTCCCATTTTAATGTCGGTCAAGTTTCCCAAGAGATGTGCCCCGCCATCTTGGTCCAGCGGTACCTGCAGATGGCGGTTGGGCCCCCCGGCTCTGGTCGCCAATGGCGGTCCCCAGGCAGGCTGAGCCGCGTCTACGCTCTGGTCGTAGTCTCGCCCCTTGCGTGGGACGATGGGTGACCATCATTTTGGGAAAGTCGATGGAAGGCGGCCTCTCCAGCCCCCGCCGGCCATGCTAATTAGAGAGCGGGTCGGCGGCGCGCTGCGTGCCCAGTGGCATTGAATGGCGCCAGGCAGGTGGTCGCCGCCGGTGAATAGTTGCCGGTAATTGGCGTGTTCAGGTCGTGCGGTGTGAAATCCGGATGCCTCAGCCCCGAATAACAGCACAGCCGCCACGGGTGGGGGAGAGCAGAACAATGGGCGTTCATAATCCATCCTGGGGGGGGGATGTGCCCAATTAAGAGATTATATGGGAGGGATCAGACGTTGATTGTGTGCGGAGAATGTGCGACCGCCGACCAACAGAGAACCAATCAGCAGCAATTCCCCATCAGTCTGCTCTGCCCCCCGAGTAACATAATCACCATTTCTTTCTTTCTATGTATCCCAGTGATGCTGATCCCCCGCAGCCTCTTTGCAGCCACTTCCTGTCTACATCAGTCCAGTGATGGCTGCATGACATTTCTCAGGACTGTTTTCCTGTTATAGCATTGTCACCCTATAACAGGAAGTGTCTGAATGTCTGAACAAGGACAGAGCATTGTCACCCTATAACAGGAAGTGTCTGAACAAGGACAGAGCATTGTCACCCTATAACAGGAAGTGTCTGAACAAGGACAGAGCATTGTCACCCTATAACAGGAAGTGTCTGAACATGGACAGAGCATTGTCACCCTATAACAGGAAGTGCCTGAACAAGGCCCTCCATGGCAGGACCGGGGACTAATCTGTGTCTCATGTCTTCCCTGGTTGGATGATTATTAGGAGATAATTGGATAGAATTTATATTATTTGTGTATTTTTGTCACTTTGTTACAAAATTATAAATAAAGTTGCGGCTGGTGTGAATCTCGATCAATGATTCAGTAACTTTATTCGTTTAATTGGAGATCGCTCCTCCTGTTCTTTCCTCGCGGTGATTTCGGCGTAGAGTAATGGTTGGTATCGGCACAGAGGAGTCCTCCGGCGCTCAATCATGGTACCGATCGTTTCCCGCTGACGCCGAGCGTATGAAATATCCCGCGTCATCTGTATCTGTCTGCTCCGGCACAACCCGCCGATCGATCTCCCCCTCCCCCGGCCCGGCTTCATTATGTGCCTTCAGCTCATCCATCATGGCGCTCTCCCGCGGACCGCTGAACGATGGAGACCGCCGCAGACACTTCATCCCTCAGGAAGACGCACGCCGCATCTCAAGACACAACTATATATAGGACATGGAAGGGTTACATCTGTCAGCTTTGCTGTCTTGCTGGGGAGATTTCCCTTCACTTCCTGTCCTAGAATATCAACAGATAGTAAGGGGAGATCTCTACAAGATGAGGACAGGAAGTGAGGGTAGGTCTCTACAAGATGAGGTGACGGGAAGTGAGGGGAGATCTCTACAAGATGAAGTGAGGGGAGGTCTCTACAAGATGAGGGGACGGGAAGTGAGGGGAGATCTCTACAAGATGAGGGGACGGGAAGTTAGGGGAGATCTCTACAAGATGAAGGGACGGGAAGTGAGGGGAGATCTCTACAAGATGAGGGGACGGGAAGTCGGTGGACTGGGCTGGGCGGACGGTGGACCGGGCTGGGCTGACGGTGGCCCGGGCTGGGCTGACGGTGGCCCGGGCTGGGCTGACGGTGGCCCGGGCTGGGCTGACGGTGGCCCGGGCTGGGCTGACGGTGGCCCGGGCTGGGCTGACGGTGGCCCGGGCTGGGCTGACGGTGGCCCGGGCTGGGCTGACGGTGGCCCGGGCTGGGCTGACGGTGGCCCGGGCTGGGCTGACGGTGGCCCGGGCTGGGCTGACGGTGGCCCGGGCTGGGCTGACGGTGGCCCGGGCTGGGCTGACGGTGGCCCGGGCTGGGCTGACGGTGGCCCGGGCTGGGCTGACGGTGGCCCGGGCTGGGCTGACGGTGGCCCGGGCTGGGCTGACGGTGGCCCGGGCTGGGCTGACGGTGGCCCGGGCTGGGCTGACGGTGGCCCGGGCTGGGCTGACGGTGGCCCGGGCTGGGCTGACGGTGGCCCGGGCTGGGCTGACGGTGGCCCGGGCTGGGCTGACGGTGGCCCGGGCTGGGCTGACGGTGGCCCGGGCTGGGCTGACGGTGGCCCGGGCTGGGCTGACGGTGGCCCGGGCTGGGCTGACGGTGGCCCGGGCTGGGCTGACGGTGGCCCGGGCTGGGCTGACGGTGGCCCGGGCTGGGCTGACGGTGGCCCGGGCTGGGCTGACGGTGGCCCGGGCTGGGCTGACGGTGGCCCGGGCTGGGCTGACGGTGGCCCGGGCTGGGCTGACGGTGGCCCGGGCTGGGCTGACGGTGGCCCGGGCTGGGCTGACGGTGGCCCGGGCTGGGCTGACGGTGGCCCGGGCTGGGCTGACGGTGGCCCGGGCTGGGCTGACGGTGGCCCGGGCTGGGCTGACGGTGGCCCGGGCTGGGCTGACGGTGGCCCGGGCTGGGCTGACGGTGGCCCGGGCTGGGCTGACGGTGGCCCGGGCTGGGCTGACGGTGGCCCGGGCTGGGCTGACGGTGGCCCGGGCTGGGCTGACGGTGGCCCGGGCTGGGCTGACGGTGGCCCGGGCTGGGCTGACGGTGGCCCGGGCTGGGCTGACGGTGGCCCGGGCTGGGCTGACGGTGGCCCGGGCTGGGCGGACGGTGGACCGGGCTGGGTTTGAGCTGGACTTGGACCGGGCTGAGCGGATGGTGGACCGGGCTGGGTTTGAGCTGGACTTGGACCGGGCTGAGCGGATGGTGGACCGGGCTGGGTTTGAGCTGGACTTGGACCGGGCTGAGCGGATGGTGGACCGGGCTTGGTTTGAGCTGGACTTGGACCGGGCTGAGCGTATGGTGGACCGGGCTGGGTTTGAGCTGGACTTGGCTGTGTAATGTATATGTGTGACACGGTGAGGGTGGTTTCCTGTGTTTGGGGTGTATTTTGGTTGCGGGAGGGGGAGGTGTTGCGCTCGGTGCGATCAGACGGAAGAGCGCTGCTCTCTGTGGCTTTTCTCTTACATCAGATTTAACCCCTCGTGTGTTTCCTCTCCAGAATCTCCGAGCTCCAGACACCAGCTGAGCACCAGAGACAAGACGCGGGTCCCCGGCACCATGGCGAGCCGGCCGGTGCTCCTCCTCCTCGGGTTGTTGGTCGTCGTTCTCTGGCCGGGCATCGAAGGAACTTTACCCACTGTGTCCAAGCAGCGTCTGAAAGGGAGATTTCAGCGGGACCGGCGGAACATCCGCCCGAATATCATCCTCGTCCTGACCGATGACCAGGACGTAGAGCTCGGTGAGTGCGCCTATTTCTCCATAACCATCTGATCACCGTCTGGTCATACGATCTCTGTGCACCATACACGGCACAATCTCTGTGCATGATACGATCTCTGGGCACCGTACACGGCACGATCTCTGTGCACCATGCACGGTACGATCTCTGTGCACCATGCACGGCACGATCTCTGTGCCCCGTACACGGATTAATCTCTGTGCACCATGCACGGCATGATCTCTGTGCACCGTACATGGTACGATCTCTGTGCACCATGCACGGTACGATCTCTGTGCACCATACACGGCACGATCTCTGTGCACCATACACGGCACGATCTCTGTGCCCCGTACACGGATTAATCTCTGTGCACCATGCACGGCACGATCTCTGTGCCCCGTACACGGATTAATCTCTGTGCACCATGCACGGCATGGTGCACAGAGATCGTACCGTGCATGGTGCATCTCTGTCCCATTAGTGTCCATGTTGCATCTTGCTGCAACTCTATCATCATGGCCGGCCGGAGGAACCACATCACCCAGAGGGGGGACCTGGGATCTGACATGTCCAGGAAGTGTCTGTAGTTTCCTGTAGGACATGGGGAGCGTTCACGATTTCCTTTCGTGGGGTCCATCTAGTGCTCAGTGCTGCATGCAGGAGGAAGCATTTCCTCAGTCTCCCATCCCCCCCCAGTCATCAGTCTGCTGCAGGCAGGAGGAGGCATTTCCTCAGTCTCCCCTCCCCCAGTGATCAGACAGCAAGGTTGTAACTTTGTATCCAGTCTCTGATCTGTGTCAGACATTTGTGAACAAGCACTGCACATTCACCGGGATTTATATGATTGTATCATCTGTGAGCCGGCATCTCAGTCCAGGAAGTAGACGGTGACCCCGGGTGATGCCAGAACAAAGATGGCGCCGTCCTTCTGGAGAGACGTTGTCAAGGGGGGAGTCCTGTGACCTATAAAATACCTGGCAGTGTTCCAGTGCCGCGTTCCTTCCTATAATAATACATCTGATGGTGTACATGGGTATGCTGTCTGCAGTTCTGTATACGGGGGCCTCTGATTGCCTCGTATTTCACCCGCGGGGTCTCCTGGTTTGGGTCGGTGAGGGGTTAAGCTGACATTTGGGTCTTTAGTCGGCGGTCTTTGTGGTCGGCGGCGCCGGTGATGAGTTGCTACTTCTGGGGGTTTAAATATTTCATCTCTGGCCTAGTTGCGGA